TAACAGTAGTAAGGAAGAGATAGTAACAAGGTAAGGGAAGACAGTAATATAGTAAGGAAGAGACAGTAACAGCAGTAAGGAAGAGACAGTAAATAGTGGGAAGAAGAGACAGTAACAGTAGGCAAGAGACAGTAGCTATAGTAAGGGGAAGAGAGGCAATAGTAGTAAAGGAAGAGACAGTAACAGAGAAGTAAAGAGACAGTACAGTAGTAAGGCAAGAGATAACAGCAGTAAGGGAAGAGACAGTAACAGTGGTAAGGGAAGAAGCAGTAACAGTAGTAAGAAAAGAGATATAACAGTAGTAAGAAGAGAGTAATAGTGGTGGCGAAGAGACAGTAACAGTAAGGGAAGAGACAGTAAATAGTAGTAAGGGAAGAGACAGTAACAGCAGTAAGGGAAGAGACAGTAACAGTGGTAAGTGGAAGAGATGGTAACAGCAGTAAGTGAAGAGATATAACAGCAGTAAGAAAAGAGACAGTAACAGCAGTAAGGAAGAGACAGAACAGTGGTAAGGAAGAGACAGTAACAGTAGTATGGAAGAGACAGTAAGAAAAGGGAAGGATGGTAACAGTAGTAAGGAAGAGACAGAAGAGTAGTATAAATATAGACAGTAACAGTAGGCAAAGAGATATAACAGTAGTAAGGGAAGAGATATAATAGTAGTAAGGAAGAGATAGTAACAGTAGTAAGGAAGAGACAGGCAGGCAAGACAGGTAACAGTAGGCGGGAAGAGACAGTAACAGTAGTAAGAAAAAGAGACAGTAACAGAAAGTAAGGGAAGAGGAGCAGTAACAGTAGTAAGGGAAGAGAGAAAATAGAAAGGTGGGAAGAGACAGTAGCAGTGGTAAGAAAAGAGACAGTAACAGTAGTAAGGGAAGAGACAGTAACAGTAGTAAAGGAAGAGACAGTAACAGTGGGTAAGGGAAGAGAGCAGCAACAGGGTAAGAAAAGAGATAGTAACAGCAGGGCGGGAAGAGAGACAAGTAACAGTAGGAAAGGATATAAGAAATAGTAGTAAGGGAAGAATAGACAGCAGTAGTAAGAAAAGAGACAGTAACAGCAAGTAAGGGAAGGTTGGTAACAGTAGTAAGGGAAGAGACAGTAATAGAAAGCAGTAAGGAAGAGATACAGTAACAGTGGCAAGGGGAAGGAGACAGTAACAGCGTAAGGGAAGAGACAGTAACAGTAAGAAAAGAAGACAGAAGAAAGAAAAAGGGAAGAGACAGTGCAATAGTAGTAAGGGAAGAAGCAGTAATAGCAGTAAGGGAAGTAGACAGTAACACAGTGGGTAAGGGGAAGAGACAGTAACAGTAGTAAGGGAAGAGACAGTAACAGTAGTAAGAAAGAGAAGGCAACAGAGAAGGAAGAGACAGTACAGTGGTAAGGGAAGAGACAGTAACAGTAGTAAAGAAAAGAGACAGTAACAGTAGGCGGAAGAGACAGTAACAGTAGTAAGGGAAGAGGACAGTAACAGGTAAGGGAATGAGACAGTAACAGGGTAAGGGAAGAGATGTGCAATATAGTAAGAATTGAGACAGTAACAGTAGTATGTGGGAAGAGACAGTAACGTAGTAAGAAAAAGAGATGGTGCAATATGGTAAGGGAAGAGACAGAAGTGGTAAAGGAAGAGACAGTAACAGTAGTAAGGAAGAGACAGTGCAAGAGAAAAGGGAAGAGACAGTAACAGTAGTATAAGAGACAGTAACAGTGGTAAGGGAAGAGATGAGTAACAGGAGGCGTGATGTACAGTAGTGGGCGTGGGTAGACAGTAACACTGGTAAGGGAAGAGATGCACAGAAAAGGGAAGAGACAGCAACAGTGGGTAGCGGGGGAGGCAACACTGGTAGCGGGAAGACAGTAACAGCAGTAAGGAAGAGAGGTAACAGTAAGGGTAAGAGACAGTAACAGTGGTAAGGGAAGAGACAGTAACAGTAGTAAGGGAAGAGACAGTAACAGGGTAAGGGAAGAGACAGTAACAGTAGTGGCAAGAGACAGTAACAGTGGTAAGGGAAGAGACAGGAAGAGAAAAGGGGGAAGAGATAAAGTAATTGAAAGTGGTAAGGGAAGAGACAGTAACAGGTAGGCGAAGAGACAGTAACAGTATATGGGAAGAGACAGTAATAGTAGTATGTGAGAGACAGTAACAGTAGTAAGGAAGAGACAGTAACAGTAGGTGGAAGAGACAGTAACAGTGGTAAGGGGAAGAGACAGTAACAGTAGTAAGGGAAGAGACAGTAACAGTAGTAAGGAAGAGACAGTAACACTGGTAAGGGAAGAGACAGTAAAACAGTGTAAGGGAAGAGACAGTAAATACAGTGGTAAGGAAGAGACAGTAATATAGTAAGGAAGAGACAGTAATAGTAAGGAAGAGACAGCATGTAGTAAGGGAAGAGATGAAAATAGAAAGTACGGGAAGAGGACAGTAAATAGTAGTAAGGGAAGAGACAGTAATATGTAAGGGAAATAGGACAGTAACAGTAGTAAGAAAAGAGACAGTACAGTAGTAAGGGAAGAGACAGTAAATAGTAGTAAGGAAGAGATAGCACAGTGGTTAGGGAAGAGACAGTAACAGTAGTAAGGGAAGAGACAGTAATAGAAAGAAGGGGAGACAGTAACAGAGTAAGGAAGAGACAGCAACAGTAGTAAGGGATGGTAACAGTAGTAAGGGCAGAACAGTAATAGCAGTAAGGAAAGGACAGTAGTAAGGGAAGAGACAGTAACAGAAAGTAATGTGGAAGAGACAGTAACAGTAGTAAGGGAAGAGACAGTAACAGCAAGGGAAGAGATAAAATTAGTAGTAAGAAAAGGAGACAGTAACAGTAGTAAGGGAAGAGACAGTAACAGTAAGGGAAGAGACAGTAACAGTAGTAAGGGAAGAGACAGTAAGTAGTAAGGGAAGACAGTAACAGTAGAAGGGAAGAGACAGTAACAGTAGTAAGGGAAGAGACAGTAAATTGGAGGTGGGTGGAAGAGACAGTACCAGTAGTAAGAAAAGAGACAGTAACAGTAAGTAAGGGAAGAGACAGTAACAGTAGTAAGGGAAGAGACAGTAACAGCAGGTAAGGAAGGGACAGTAAATAGTAGGTATGGGAAGAGACAGTAATAGAAAATGGGAAGAGACAGTAAATATAGTAAGGGAAGAGATAGCAAGAGGGTAAGGGAAGAGATAGTAATAGTAGTAAGAAAAGAGATAGCAGTCATGTAAGGAAGAGGACAGTAAATAGCAGTAAGGAAGAGACAGTACAGTAGTAAAGGGAAGAGACAGTAAGTGGTGTAAGGGAAGAGACAGTAACAGTAGTACGGGAAGACAGTAACAGGTAAGGAAGAGACAGTAACAGTGGTATGGAAGAGACAGTAACAGGGTAAGGGAAGCAGGCTATAATAGTAGTAAGGGAAGAGACAGTAAATAGCATATGAAGAGACAGTAACAGTAGTAAAGGAAGAGACAGTAACAGTAGTAAGGGAAGAGACAGTAACAGTAGTAAGGGAAGAGACAGTAACAATAGTAAGGGAAGAGACAGTAACAGTAGTAAGGGAAGAGACAGTAACAGTAGTAAAGGAAGAGACAGTAACAGTAGTAAGGGAAGAGACAGTAACAGTAGTAAGGGAAGAGACAGTAACAGTAGTAAAGGAAGAGACAGTAACAGTAGTAAGGGAAGAGACAGTAACAGTAGTAAGGGAAGAGACAGTAACAGCAGTAGTAAGGGAAGAGACAGTAACAGTGGTAAGGGAAGAGACAGTAACAGTGGTAAGGGAAGAGACAGTAACAGTGGTAAGGGAAGAGACAGTAACAGTAGTAAGGGAAGAGACAGTAACAGTGGTAAGGGAAGAGACAGTAACAGTGGTAAGGGAAGAGACAGTAACAGTAGTAAAGGAAGAGACAGTAACAGTGGTAAGGGAAGAGACAGTAACAGTAGTAAGAAAAGAGACAGTAACAGTAGTAAGGGAAGAGACAGTAACAGTGGTAAGGGAAGAGACAGTAACAGTAGTAGGGGAAGAGACAGTAACAGTAGTAAGGGAAGAGACAGTAACAGTAGGAAGGGAAGAGACAGTAACAGTAGGAAGGGAAGAGACAGTAACAGTAGTAAGGGAAGAGACAGTAACAGTAGTAAGGGAAGAGACAGTAACAGTAGTAAGGGAAGAGACAGTAACAGTAGTAAGGGAAGAGACAGTAACAGTAGTAAGGGAAGAGACAGTAACAGTAGTAAGGGAAGAGACAGTAACAGTAGTAAGGGAAGAGACAGTAACAGTAGTAAGGGAAGAGACAGTAACAGTAGTAAGGAAGAGACAGTAACAGTAGTAAGGGAAGAGACAGTAACAGTAGTAAGGTAAGAGACAGTAACAGTAACAGTAAGAAGAGACAGTAACAGTAGTAAGAAAGAGACAGTAACAGTAGGAAGGAAGAGACAGTAACAGTAGTAAGGGAAGAGACAGTAACAGTAGTAAGGGAAGAGACAGTAACAGTAGTAAGGGAAGAGACAGTAACAGTAGTAAGGGAAGAGACAGTAACAGTAGTAAGGGAAGAGACAGTAACAGTAGTAAGGGAAGAGACAGTAACAGTAGTAAGGGAAGAGACAGTAACAGTAGTAAGGGAAGAGACAGTAACAGTAGTAAGGGATGACAGTAACAGTAGTAAGGGAAGGGACGGGGATAACTCACTTACCGTAGAGCCGTAATGCATAATTGAAGTATAGTCGTAAGGTACACCATAATCGAGTGCGGTAGATTGTATTTGAAAGTTGTGTTCCTTCCCGGTAATGACGTTGTCCAAGAGAATGGTGACGTAAGTATCTCTGTCGGGGCGAGATTGTTCGTGGAAAAAGCCCAGAGAGTGACCCAACTCGTGAACGATAGTGCCGAACTGGGAAGAGAGAGAGAGATAAAAATATAATGCAGCAGACAATTATCGCTGACTCACTCAGTCTTTAATTATGTATGTTACAGAGTGTGTGTTCCAAGGGTATAAAGGTTGATATCTAACTGGTGTAAACATGCCACAAGACCAACGGACTATCACATTTTTAGAATTATTTTAATATTCCATCATGGTACTCACATTTTCACAGCCAGTACCTATGGAAACTTCTTGACCATTCCTGTTCCACAGTTCCCCAATATAGGACCAGCAGCCTGTCCCATTAATAAATCTCAGGTGTGGTTGGTCCTCATCAGTTGTCTCCTCGAATTTGATGCAGGTGTGTTCCATCCAGGAGTTAATGGCTTCTTCAATCTTAGTTCGGGAACCTGAGTGAATATTATGACAACAAATACGTATGTATGTATGTATGTATGTATGTATGTATGTATGTATGTATGTATGTATGTATGTATGTATGGTTGTCACGCTAAACAGAGATAATCGTCGATTAAGACTAAGAGAGCGACTGATATTACTGCCTAATCGGGACAACATCTTGTTTCCATTTCTACAACTTAATGGAAATTAATTTGTATCAGGTAAAATGTACGTATACTGCTCTATTTAGGTCGTCCCTGATAAGATGGCTCAACACACACACCTTGACCCGTTTCTCATTACCCATTAAACTACCTCAAGAGGCACCTAGTCAAACGCCTTCTCTAAGTCTGCAGAATAAAACAAAATTCCAGCTGTTTTTCTTGCCTTAGGTATTTCTTTTTTTCGTCGCCTGCCCATCAGTACTCTTGTCCCCAGCCTCTCTCATGTATCATTTTCTCAATCCCTTTCTTCACCTTTTCTCTTTCAGTCCTTCTGTACAACCCCTGAACTGTGCGGGCTGCGTTGCTTCATTTTACGTTCTAGGTTCATTACTGACATAAAGCACCATCTTATATTTGCGTACCTTCATCCACGAAAATGTACGGTACATATGGATAGCCGTCGGGGCCTTCATCCCATCGGGCTCTCAGATCAGCAATGGCTTTCCTCTCCCGAAAAGCTTGCCACTGTTCAGGCGTCAACATCATGTCCTTCTCCAAGAGCTCCACCCCGTCTACAAAATCTGGGTTGGTGTACTCGAACCCAGCGTCCTGAGGAAAGGAAAATGGCTCTAGAACATAAGAACATAAGAACATAAGAATGGAGGAAACTGCAGCGGGCCTATTGGCCCATACTGGGCAGTCCCGTTTACACCCAACCCCTATTGCTCATATAAGCATCCAACCTATGTTTGAAGCTATTCAGCATATTCGAGTTAATGATGATATTTGGTAACTTGTTCCATTCATCCACTACTCTGTTTCCAAACCAGTGTTTACCTATTTCACGCCTAAATCTGAATTTGTCTAATTTAAAACCATTGTTACGAGTTCGCTCCTGGTTGGGTAGTTTGAGTACCTTTGTAATGTCCCCTTTGTTTAGCCCTGCCTTCCACTTATACACCTCTATCAGGTCGCCCCTCGCTCTACGTCTCTCGAGGGAGTGCAAATTAAGATGCTTTAACCTGTCTCTATACTCAAGGTTCCTAATGCCCGGGATTAGTCTTGTCATTCTCCTCTGAATTCTTTCCAAGGATTCTATATCCATTCTGTAATACGGTGACCAGAACTGAACTGCGTAGTCCAGGTGCGGTCTCACAAGAGCAAGATACAGTTTTAGGATGACCTCGCTAGTCTTATAACTAACACTCCTTTGTATGAACCCAAGTACTTTATTAGCCTTGTTACGAGCAAAAACACATTGTTTACTTGGCTTAAGGTTCCTACTTATCATTACTCCTAAATCTCTCTCGCAGTCGGATTTCTCTATGGCATCGTTGTTCATCTGGTATCTGGTTTCCCTGTTTACATCTCCTATACTGAGTACTTTACATTTGTCCACGTTGAATTTCATCTGTCATTTTTCAGACCATTCGAAAAATTTGTTTAGATCTTCCTGTAGTTTTGCCGAGTCCTCGTCAGATTTAATAACACGTCCTATTTTAGTGTCATCAGCAAATTTACTTATGTTGCTGTCTATGCCGATATCTATGTCGTTTATGTATATAATAAATAATAATGGTCCAAGTACTGAGCCTTGGGGAACTCCACTTGTGACGTTGCTCCAATGGGACTTAGTGCCGTTAATGCTCACTAGCTGTTTCCTGTCCTGTAACCACGCCCTAATCCATTTAAAGATGTCACCTTTGATGCCATGAGCTTCTACCTTTCTAATTAGTCTTTCGTGGGGGACTCTGTCGAAGGCTTTGCTAAAGTCGAGATATACCACATCATAATTGTGCCCCTCGTCCACCGATTCGAAAACTGATGAAAAGAATGTTAATAGATTAGTTAGGCAAGAACGTCCGCTTGTGAAGCCATGCTGGGAATCATTGATCAATCGGTGCTTCTCCAGGTGATTTCGAATAGACTTTGAGATGATTGCTTCCAGTAATTTGCCTACTATTCATGTTAAACTGATTGGGTTTGATTATATTAGGTTAGGTTAGACTATAACTCTCTACCTATCTTTTTTGTACATCAGCTGTTGTCTGCCAGTACCTCCGCCAGTCCGTCTGTTATTTATTTTGCCCACATAAGTTATGTTAAAATTCCCAAATGAAGACAGATAACTCCAAAAGTCAAAGGTATATTTTTAAAAATCCTCATAATTCCATGAGTGGTTTATACATTAAAGCCGGTAAGAAATCTTCAAATGTGCATAATTTTTTTTTTCTCCGAGCATCAGTTTGTATCACCGGTTATTGTCCATTTACATCACCCCCCTCCCTCAACGAAGACATAAAAACAAAGACTAACATAAATATTTGGTGTCAGGCTTCAGTCTTTGGCTTGATACCTCCCAGATGAAAGATGAAGGTAGCAAACATTGTGTAAGGTCAGCAGTAATACCTGGATGTGAATCCTCGAGGTAAAAAAAAAAAAAAGGATCCCGTAAATTGTATTATACTACAGCCTTCTGGGTGGTAATCCACAGCGTTAGTTATCTTCCTTCCTCTCTTACTTTCTTTCATCATTCGCTTCTCTCTCTCTCTCTCTCTCTCTCTCTCTCTCTCTCTCTCTCTCTTCAGTACCGTAAGATTCTCACTTTACCTAAAGGCTAGTAAAACACAGCAAAGGATGGTGGGTTCCGAGGGTCCACAGTGGTCTAGGTAAGTCCAGGGTTGTATCATGTTTACCTTCCCAAGCTGAGGTGGGAAGTTGGCCACAAACTCATCCCTTACCACACACTTACGTTGGCCACGTAGAAGGCAGCCGAGTCCATCTTGTTGTTTCTGTGGTTCGACGGGTCCTCGGCGTCCATAATGATGTGAGTCACCGGAGGTTGGGTCGTTGGGGCGTGTTCGGCCTCAGGGTCGTGTGGCAGCTGAGGGGAAAAGGAAAAACAAATTGGTGAGTTTTGCCTTTAGGTTATTTGTTGTGTGTGTGTGTGTGTGTGTGTGTGTTCGGGAGGCTTTAGTCACATCTCTGCACATGGGCGACAGAGATAAGATGGTTGTTTATGCAATGGCATCTCGGCATCAATGCAATCCGGTCCTATCTGTGCAACTAAGCAGACCTTTCCAGGAGCCACTTTGCTCACCCTACATGGGGAGGGGGTAAGGTAAGGTAAGGTAAGGCAAGGTAAGGTAAGGTAAGGTAAGGCAAGGCAAGGCAAGGCAAGGTAAGGCAAGGTAAGGCAAGGTAAGGTAAGGTAAGGTAAGGTAAGGCAAGGTAAGGTAAGGCAAGGTAAGGTAAGGCAAGGCAAGGTAAGGTAAAAAAGGTAAAAGGTAAAAGGTAAAGGTAGGGTAAAAGGTAAGGTAAGGTAAGGTAAGGTAAGGTAAGGCGGGGTAAGGTAAGGCAAGGCGGGGTAAGGCAAGGCAAGGCAAGGCAAGGCAAGGCAAGGTAAGGCAAGGTAAGGTAAGGTAAGGTAAGGTAAGGTAAGGTAAGGCAAGGCAAGGCAAGGCAAGGTAAGGTAAGGTAAGGTAAGGTAAGGTAAGGTAAGGTAAGGTTCATTCTGCTTTGTGTAATCTTATATGATATGACTTTAAGCCGTTTTCTCGCTGTGATATCGTGTATAAAATTTTTTAGTAATTCTGCATAAAATAAGTCTGGGCAAACACGAAGTATGAAAACCAGGAAGGAAATGACAGTATTAACAGAGAGGAACAAACCTGAGGGGCGCCAGCGGTCACACCCAACAAACTTGCTACAGCGAGATACCACAAGGCAAGAGCAGCCATGTTGACTCGTTCACCACTGAACCCAGTTTGGTGCTTCCTTCCATAATATAGTCAACTCGGTACCCCCACTACACCCCCCATAACTACTGACTGTAACTCCCGTAGCAGTAACCAAACCTTGATGAGCCACGTAAACACCTATCGCACTCACACTTTACCTTTTCACTAATAACGTAAGCAACTGTGGGGAACTAATGATATAAGAGCCAACGAGAGACTCCTTTAGCGAGGTTAATCATGGCTTCCACGGATGACGTGTTAACTACGACTTAGTGTAGCTAAGGTTCACTTTTACACTTAATGAAAGTTGAACTTCAGTCTTCTGGAACAGAATTCATCTGCGATATTAATTGTTTTTCAGCTGTTATCTTACACTAATACTCACAACCGAGTTGTCACCGAAACTAGTGACTGGAGAGCAGATTAAATTATGAATTTTATTTTATTTATTTATTTATTTTTTTTTTACGGGGATTAGCCCACCAGGGCACAGGTCATTGACCCAAATCAGGGCCTGGGGGGCGAGGATGTAATAATAATTCATAGTAAATAAATTTTATAACAAAAAATTTAAAGTAAAATAATAAATTGATAATAATAATGCACTAATAATAATATTAATAAAGAAATACAAAAATGAAAAACAATACAAAATAAGAAACAATATACAGTATATATGTTGTGTTGTCAATAGTAAGAGAAACAATTGAGTGGTTTATACATTAAAGCCGGTAAGAAATCTTCAAATGTGTACAATTTTTCTCCGAGCACTGGGGTTTGTATCACTGGTTATTGTCCATTTACATCACCCTCCCCTCAACGAAGGCTACACATAAAACAAGACTAACATAAATATTTGTGTCAGGTTTCAGTCTTGGTTTGATACCTCCTGTAGATGAAAGAGATGAAGGTAGCAAAACATTGTAAGGTCCAGCAGTAATACCTATGAATCCTCGAGAGGTACAGTACCAAAAAAAAAGGATCCTGTAAATTGTATTATACTACAGCCTTCTGGGTGGTAATCCACAGCGTTAGTTATCTTCCTTCCTCTCTTACTTTCTTTCATCATTCGCTTCTCTCTCTCTCTCTCTCTCTCTCTCTCTCTCTCTCTCTCTCTCTTCAGTACCGTAAGATTCTCACTTTACCTAAAGGCTAGTAAAACACAGCAAAGGATGGTGGGTTCCGAGGGTCCACAGTGGTCTAGGTAAGTCCAGGGTTGTATCATGTTTACCTTCCCAAGCTGAGGTGGGAAGTTGGCCACAAACTCACCTGACGGAGCGCATAGTTCCTGCAGATGTGTCAGCCGTCATAAAAGGGTTTAAAACAAATCACCTGGTCAAAGTCACATTAACAAGAAGATCCTGGCTCAACTCCCCGACAACATGATAGAGAGGCTTGCTCATATATGCAACGCCTGCCTCGCCTCTGGATACTTCCCTAAGATGTTCAAAATCGCCGTTATTCGCCTCATACCAAAAGCAGGGAAGCCTCCAAACAAAGTCGAAAACTTTCGACCAATATCGCTGCTAGAGGTACCTGCCAAAATCTTCGAAAAAATAGTCAACAAGCGATTGCGGATGTATCTGGAGGACGAAGACGTGTATAATCCCCGCCAGTTCGGCTTCCGCCAGTACCGAGGCACATCCACCGCCATAGCTCAGGCCTACGAGCAGATCGCCAATGCCATGACTGGCCGCCTACAGTGCAATATAGTACTGAGGGACGTCAGCAAGGCGTTTGACAAAGTTTGGCACGCAGGACTGCAGTATAAGATCATACAACTGGGGCTACCCGAAAATCTGACTCGCCTGCTGTGCAACTTCATTACGGACCGCAGAGCCAAAATTAAGATGCAAGAACATTTTGGAGAAGAATTCTCACTATCGAGCGGCGTGCCTCAGGGCTCTTGTCTCTCACCAACCCTTTACACACTCTACACGGCTGACCTACCACCCCCAATCGTCGGCAGCGAGTACGTCATGTATGCAGACGATGTAACACAGATCGTCACCTGCCCAGGAAGGTCCACGGCAAGGATGGCGCGACTCACTGCTCGGGCAATAGAGGAGATCTCGGAGTATGAAAATAAATGGAAAATAAAAACAAACAAAACGAAATTTGAGGTCATACCCATAGCCAAATTCAAGCCGGCCCCATTGATGATCGACGACGAAGAGATTGAGTACTCTAAACAAGGCAGGCTGCTCGGCCTCATCATTTCTCGGACGGGCATCATTCCCCACGTGAAGGACAGACTAAATAAAGCCAAAGTCGCCGCAGCCAAATTAAAACGTTTTAAATTGATGCCTGAGAAGATACAAGTTCACCTGTACAAGGCGCTGGTGAGGCCTGTGTTGGAGTACCCATCTATACCACTCGTCACACTCGGGAAGACTAGACTACAACAACTACAGAGCTTCCAAAACAAATGTTTGAGGTCAGCCAGTGGCCAAGCGCCACCCTACCAGGAGACAGTGGAAACCATCCACCTAAGAAATAAAACAGAGGCCCTCAACTTCAGGTTCCATCGCCTAGGGAAGAAGGTTTGGGACAAGCTCCTGGGCGACCCTCACAGCCCAGACCACCTACGCGGGGAAGACATCAACGGAGGGAGACCCCACGCCTGGTGGCCCCGGAGTCTGCCCACACTACAACAACCCAACCCGCGATCCATCTATGTCCGCCACAGTGATCCACCTTAGATTAAAACTTAGATGATATAAATTCACATTTAACAAGTCAAAATCGAGTGAGTCCATAACGTAATACAGTATAAGATGTTAATAAACTTGTAATTGTAAAATCAATCTAGTCATTGTCTACTAAAATAACCATTGTGCAACCTCATTCTAAATCCTAGGTTAGCTTAGTTAGCCAACAAACTCTGTAATATGTAAAACAAGGGGTGTCGTCCCCCTCTGTTTAACTCATTAAACTTCTTTTCCAACCTTTCCCCCCACGACTATATGTTGTGACTTCTCCATCCTTCATGTCTGGCTGTGCCTTGAGCCCCAGCATGCCTTCCACCCTTTCCCCACCTTAACCTAAAAAAAAAAAAAAAAAAAAAAAAAAAAAAAAAAATCACCCCATTGTGCCACGTAGAAGGCAGCCAAGTCCATCTTGTTATTTCTGTGGTTCGACGGGTCCTCAGCGTCCATAATGATGTGAGTCACCGGAGGTTGGGTCGTTGGGGCGTGTTCGGCCTCAGGGTCGTGGCAGCTGAGGAAAAGGAAAAAACAATTAGTGAGTTTTGCCTTTGGGTTATTTGTTGTGTGTGTGTGTGTGTGTGTGTGTGTGTGTGTGTGTGTGTGTGTGTAATCGGGAGGTTAGTCACATCTCTGCACATGGGCGACAGAGATAAGATGGTTTATGCACGGCATCTCGGCATCACGCAATCCGGTCCTCTATCTGTGCAACTCAAGCAGACCTTTCCAGGAGCCACTTTGCTCACCCTACATGTAGGTATAGTATGGCAAG